TTTTAAGTATAAATGATTCATTTAGTTTTATCCATTATTATAAATGAAAAATAAAACTAAATTAACACCCCTGCTAGAGACAGCTGACACTGACTTTCTGTTAGTAAACGGTTTTACACACCTCTAACCAAACGTGAGTACAGACCATTTGTTACCATTTCTGATCCATCTGGTTCCGGGGTACAAAAAGTGTTTCTCGGCACTTTTGTGGGCATAGGAATACACAGAAAAATACGCTGATTCTTTCTGCGACCAGACCTTTTACTTTTTGCTTGAATTTTAAATTTTTGCTTAAGACGGCCTTACCGCCATTACCATCTATTATTTTGTCCGCATGTATTATTAGCAAGCATCATCATCCATTTTTGTTTAAACAATTATTAGGACACTAGATGCTCAAGGAATTAAATTTGAAATTTACAACATCGTTTAGATTAGCGTAACAGCAGAACTTGAATTTGACGAAATATTTAATCACAATTTATGCTCTATTTTGAACAATATTCATCACAATTCGGTATTGTAGTTAATGATACTAAAAACAATACCTTTTGCCATTTGTTGTTTACTTGTATCTGCATTCCTCTGTAAACATGCGGGGTCCGAAAAAGCACAGCTATTTATTAGTTGCAACTATAACGGTATTGTCGTGCAGCACTACGGTCAAAACTTTCCTCTTCTGTATCTGTACGTGAGGTTCTTGTTTGTCTATTGTAGAAACAGCAGTCGCATTGAAAAATATATTCATTGCATTGATTGATATCGAAAAATTAAAACAAGAAAAAAGAAAGGGTCTTGTTTCTAGGAGGTCGTTCATATTGAAATTCTAATTTCTGTCATCGTTAATTTATTCTTAATCACTATAAACAGACATGGCTTCATTTAGACATGGCTAGATTATTATGACAGATCTTTTTCTATTGAATTTCATAGATATGTTATTAGTTTCACTTCTTTAATAGTAGCATGGACACAATAAGATTACTTCCAGTAAAATAACACTTATACTGAAAGTCTCTCATTATACAATTAAATAGTCTTTATCGTTCGTTGTACAAATCATACATTTGATCAGCGATCATTTGTTGCTATTGCCCCTTCATAGAATTAGCCTTCACAACGAAGTAAAATCTAAATAAAATAGCTTCATTAGTCATTCTTTTATAGATCTTTTCACAACGTACCTTTCTTCTTTTCATCAGTGTCGTCTAAGTCAATATCATCATTTTTTGTATCATCCAAAACATCTGTTGGCTTCCCATACGCTTTAACCAAACCGTCACTAATCAACACAATTTTATCACTATGTTGAATTGTATCTAGACGATGTGCAATTGTCAGTACTGTTTGTGCACTGAATTTCTCTCGAATAACTTGTTGAATCAATTTATCCGTATGCATGTCAATATTAGCTGTTGCCTCGTCAATTAACAGAATTTTGCTTGGTTTTAGCAAAGCTCGAGCTACACATATCAACTGACACTCGCCCACACTAAAATTACTCCCATATTCAGCTACTTGTATGCTTAGTCCATCGGATATTTCCGACATTTTATCCTTCAATTGAACCATTGCCAGGGCTATCCACAACTCTTCGTCCGAGTGTTTGCTAAATGGATCAAGATTATATCTTAGAGTATTACTGAATAGAACGGGCGATTGTGGAATGATATTCAAATGGGAACGTAGATCGCTTAGACTAATTGTATTAATATCAATATCGTCAATACATATTTGACCTTCTGTCGCTGATTTGTCGACTAGTCGAAAAAGAGCTTGAAAAATAGACGATTTTCCAGCCCCTGTTCTCCCACAAATGCCCACTTTATCACATGGTTCAATATCGAGGTTGATGCCTTTCAATACCGGTTCAAGCTCAGCACGATAACGAAATTTATAGTTTTTAAATTCGATTTTTCCTTTCGTTGGCCATTCAGACGGCGGTTTCTGTTTTTCATTGTAGAAATCAGGTTCGGGTGGCAGACGAGAATACTCGCTTAAAAGCTGTTTACATATCACGTAGACAATATTTTTCTTCATCTATTTATAGTTAACGATAAGCACTCATGTTAAGTTGGTTCTATTTTTTCCATGAACTTTTGATCAGCACACGGCACGCGTTAAACTAATTTCTAAAAAACTAAATTTAAAAAATGAATTGAGTTCTTATAACTTTAACTTTTTCATTTTCCCTTTACAAGAAGTTTTACATCATCGACTTGAATAGATGAAGTATCAAAAAAATTCTCAAAATCGAAAATACTTTGTCTGCTGCCTATAATGATGTCTCTAGTAAAATAGATAAAACGGCACCGACTTCCATCCGAAAATTTCTTTCTTCTTTTCTTTAGCTTGTTTTATCCAAAAATGGTCGCTTTTGGAAAAATTTCTATTTCTTCAAGAGACCTTTTTTATCTCTTTGTTTTGAAGAAAAGTTTTAGTGGAAGTATGAGCGGGATTAGTCAAATTTTCCAACTGACTTAGGCGAGACAATAATATTCGTTTCGGACATGTTAAGACTTCACCCCAATAGAAACATTTATTTAATGTAAACTACGTCATGCAACAAAATCAACGAAACTTCGTTAATCTGCATCTGTTTTTCTTAGTATATTGAAAGAACGTTTTTACTGTTGTCATTCTTCGATAGATAATGACGTAATACAAGAACACCTCGTTATTCTCTCAGCACTTGTCATGTGATTTTCCGTTTCAGCCGATTGCCTTACTGCCCATTGAAACATTGACGACAAATTAATACAGTACATTAAGCCTAACGCCGCCGAAG